GAAGAAGAATAATCAAAGTTAGATCTTTTTTAGGGAGGTTTGTTACAGTGTTGAACAATTGGCTGGAGAACGTTTCACTAATCTCGTCCGATTACAGGTCATATACCTGTATAAGGCTGGTTGTAAGAAGCATTTCTTGCTTTAAACCCTTAACTACCTTGGCCAAAAATAGTAACATTTGTACCATGGCAGGGTCAAATTTGACCCCCCATTGTTTTTTGTATCAAAAAATAATATTTTTTTTAACTTGTTTTATTTTAAATTATTTTGTTTACAGCTACTTTTACATTTATATAAAAATAAACGTATTTATTTAATTAGATATAACTTTATTAAAAATAAAAACTTTTGTATTCAGTCAAATTAACATAGCTATGCACTTTCTCGAATTATAAGAAAAATAATAACAATGTGCAGTTTTTTTATATCCAATGGTGAAATCTAGGTATCATAGCTCCTACTAAAATAAAAAAAAATCGATTTAGATTTCGTATCTCAAAAATGACAAGCATGATTTTACCTTAATTTTCAACACAGCTTATGCATAACGTCTGTATGCGGGAATGATTTTTGCAAATAAAATCTCGACATTTATCGCACGATGAGCTTTCTTTCTTTTGGTTTTTGGAATATGGACATATTTTACACCTTCCCCTCTTTTTTCGTCGTTGTGGCTCTGGATTTGCGGCAGGCATTGGTTCCTGAAGTCCGGAAACTTTAAAAATGGCACTACGAATTTCTCTCGGTAAACAAGTTTGCTGAGCTCTACGAGTTAAATGGGCCTTAATAAGTTCTTGACCTAAAGTGGTTAGAAACAATCTTCTTTCCATTATTTGATTTTGCTGAACTGCATTAAAAATTACGTTAGCATTTAATCCTGCAATGTCCAAAATGCGAAACCATATTACTTGAGGCCATCTACGAGTTCTTCTGCCAGTTTTATAGCATGCACATTTCTTATCCAATGAATCCACCCCACCTTTTGTCTCGTTGTAAAAATTTATAATCTCTGGCTTTCCATTAACCATTGTATTGAAATGATGCATAGTTGACACTAACAACACTGCACGATTTTTCTTAGGAACAAAAGATACAAGGCTCTCGCTTCCTGTAAAACCAAATAAGGCAGAATTAGGTGGCCTGTTTTTTGGGGTTGAAATTCAGCAGGAACCTCTCTTTTATTTCTTTTTAGAGTTCCAACATATGAAATTTTATGGCTTCTCAGTTCTTTTATGAGCTCAATGGACGAAAACCAATTATCTGCTGTTATGTTTCTATTTGTACCAGAAATTGGTGGAATAAGTGTCAAAACATCTAGAGTGGGGATGGATAACTTTTTTGGATTTGCTCTGCGTGTATCTTTTCCAGTATATATAAAACCATTTAGCAAATAATGTGTCTTAGAGTCTACTAAACACTGCATTTTCAGACCGTATTTGTCTGGCTTATTTTTGAGATACATCCTGAATTGGCACCTTCCTCTAAATGCAATAAGCATTTCATCTATTGTGAGATATTCACCACAGCTATAATTGGACTGGCAATTAATTATAAAGCAATATTAAAAATATTGGATATAGCTGCCAGTTTATCTCCGTGCGCAATACGTTCTTGTCTAGTAGCTGGGTCGTCAAAACAAAGGCTTCCAAGCAAAAAATAAAATCGGTTTAGTGACATGGTTGCTCGAAATATATCACGGCCAGTACCATTCGTAGCAAATAAAGACCTAAAATCTTCATTATTGGATTTAAATACCCCAGCTAAATATAATAAGCCTAAGAAGGCCTTTAATTCAATTATGTCAAGATGATTGATATATTGACACGATAAATTGTGTAAATTATATTTAGAAGCCATATTAGTTATTCGTTCATTGGTTTTCTCAAGAATTTCTTGCAATATATCGTGGCTAATAATACATTCCCAAGCATCAACTGGTTTCTCTGGCATACTAGCTCGAGCTTTTCCAATAACACCAGGTAAATGACTAATTAAATTATGCTTACGTGTACGAGAAAAGGTGGGAGAAGTTTTAGACCACTTGTACCTATTTTTGCCATAAAACACATCCCTTGAGTCAGCTATATCACTTTCTTCACCCGAATATTCACTACCAGTTTCGGAATTATTAATTTGCCAATTTTTTTCGTCATCATCGTCCCATTCCTCTTCACTGTCTGTTTCGTGATCACTGTGTTCACTAGCCTGGTCTAAAAACTCACTGTCACTATCTAGTCCATTGTCCATAATTTTTTGTCCCTCCTCTTCAAGTTCTTTCTGTGTCAGAGGACGTTTATTGCGACTACACCCCGCCATTTCAAATTACTCGTTAATTGCACTAGAAACACTTATACCATAAGCGGGTCAAAATTGACCCTATGCGTGCCTAACTCTGCAGTAGTAACAGATAAACTAACGGAATTTTCGTAGATCGATAAATCACCTACCGGTCGAAGATTAGCAGAAAGCGCGCAATGCTCAATCTATGTTTCGGTAGCGAAACTTGGCATTAAAAACGCGGGGGGTCAATTTTGACCCCGTCATGGTACTTAAGGGTTAAGATTATACCTACACGGTGCAAAAAGTTATATATACACCTCTATAGGGACACATTAAAAATCCTGAAATATGACATGTTTAACTTCGTTGCTATGGATAAACGCTCATGTTGGTATAAAATATAATGAGCACGTCGATTTTATTGTTGAAGTCGCAATAACCTCTTCAGCTGAAATGTTACCAGATGAGAAAATTTGTGTTCCTGACGCTAATTATGAATGTTCTTGGGGAAAAAAACACTTTTTTAAAAACTGAATTCACAATTAAAACTTTTATTTTCGACTTACAAAGATTCTAGTAACAATACAATAAATTTAAATCAGACTAAATTATAAATCAGACTGAAAATATTGATTTTTACATGGTGTTTTTATAATTTTATAATTGCTGATCTTGCAGTCCAATACGTCGCAATTCAGTCCAGAATGATCGAGCGGTAGTCCCGTGTGGAATCCACGTGGTAAAATTTACTGGATGGTAGCGGTCATTGTACTGTAACTCGCTTTTCTTATCTCTAAAAGAAATCAAATAGATCGCTGTAAAACTTCTTGGCAAACTTTTGTCGACAACTCACGAACACAATACGTTTCTATACAACAACATATCCCGAAAATTTTGAATAAAGCTGGGCCCATAACGGATATTGTTCTGAAGCTATTTTCTTGTGGTATTTTAAAGTAATTACTATTTAAATGGGAATAAGCCCATAATTAAAGGTTAAAATACGTTTATTGACGTTTCAATATCCACTTCGGAAATCGTTCTCAAAATATAAACATTAGTAAATTGTAATTTACTAATGTTTCTAGTAATGTCTTAAACAAATGTTCTGCTGGGTCTTTGGACGAGAAGCGAGTACCCTGTATTTCCTGATTATTGTTTTTTCTTGCTATCATTTCCTCTTTCTGTTTGATTCAGTTATAGGGATTTTTATAAGATCTTTCGTCTCTAATAGATACACTTTTTGCACTAGCAATTATTAATATATAGATATACAATTTTTTATTTGGGTATTATATTAGAATATATTAATATTAGTAATTTTTCATTTATTATTTCTCAATACGTATCTGTCGAAATAGCTAAGTGCAAAAGCCACAAAAAAACTTCGTTTCTTATTATTATCTGTGGACCTCTCTATCTATAACACGAACTCATTTTTCTATATTTTATTTAAGCTTACAGGTTGAGACGGAATTTGAAATAAAAAACATTTATCATAGCTATTATTACATTCCGGCATAAATTACCTATCTATTATCGCAGTATGATCTCTATTGTATCATCTTATAATAGATGTTATAATATCTAATAAAAAATGAATTCAATAAAACTTTCACTATAAACTTCAACTTTACTGTTATGTATGTACAATATTCTCTGTGAAAATAATCTCGATAAAACTTCATGCGCTTGAAGAGAAAATTTAATTTCGACGATCCATTTCAACTCCAAAAAGCAATACGACACTTAAGAGAAAACTAGGGATACTGGATTACTAAAAACATCATGTCTCTTGTCTATTTGTATTGTTAACATATAGTTCGCGTGAACTTCTAAAGCCGGGATCTGACAGAACGTGGAGGGGCGTTGTTCATCGGTGAAGAGGAATAGAAAATACATAACAAAAAAAGACAAAATCTATAAATAAGAATTAACAGAATGATCTGAAATAGAGCAAAACTGTCTATTTATAGTGGGTGCGTGTTGTCCCATCGTTTGTGGGTAAATTAACACGGTTCAAGGGAAGGTTCAGTAATTTTTATTATTGTATAAATTACCCAACTTACTAAAATTGTTACATTTAAAAAGTGAAATCCCTCAATTTCGAAGAGACACACTCCATTGGGGTAGTTAACAAAAAGTAAATATTTAATAGTTTCACAGTAACATGACGGACCAATCGTACTCTTTTTCTTTTCACTGTTATCTATTTTCTATTTCTTTCGAAGACGTGAACTGGCGAAGAGCGCCTATCTACACTCATGAGATCCCGGCTTAACAGGTTTTAAAAATTTTGAGTAATTTTTCGGAATTAAATTTGAATATAATTGATACTGATTAGATGGAGTTTTTTTCATATTCTTTTTCGGAAATAATATCGCGCCAAACTTAATTTAGGTCTTGTCTTTCAAATCAAAGACTACTATCATGAAAATAAGATTCCCTTCGCTGTAAAAAAGGTTAAAAAAGTAAAATAAAACAAATAAATATCTACTCTTCCCATCATTCTCCAAAATATTAGGAAATTAGATGCTTTCTATAACATGTTAACATATTTGATAAAAATTCGGGAAAATTTAGACAAAATGCTATCCCTCATATCGAAAAGTTTAATATGACATATAGTTGCACAAAAAAATTATACATATATATATATATATATATATATATATTATATATATGTAGTAGTGGTTGCATTAATTTTTAAGATTACTTACCCCATGTCCAGGCGTCTTGATGATGACTACTCTTAACGACTTCAGACCACAGATCTGCCTTAAGGACTTCCAATCGCTGTTTGGAGATTGGTAAAGACTGTCTTGCCGACGACCAACGGGGAAAATCTTTGGTAAACACCTGAAAATATGAAGATAATGTGAAAAAGTATACTGATATTTAAGTTAAAATAAAATTAGAAACAATGAAGATAAGTATAACTGGAACGAATCTGAAAAATACTTGGATACACCATGGATCTCTAATATATCTACATTATAAGGATGCAATGACAAGAAAATTTTTCCACCCAAAGCTGTAATAGTTTCGAGCGTTATATTCATTCAAATTCTTCATGCTTAGTGCTACTAATATCACTGCATTTACTTTTTGGTTGATCCAGTGATTTACAGTATCTTCATATACATATTTCATATATTTAAAGCATACTTGTTCTATTATGGTTTCCGATGATATAAATAAGTACAGTTGGTACCATGGTACAATGAACACAATGTATGATACATAATGTTCCAAAATCGGTTTGCTTCGCGCATGACTCGCGTTGTCAAGAACCCTTCTACGTGCAACATTTGATTTAAGTTTTTTAATATAATTTAGTTAATTTAATTTTATTGATTTGTGGTACAGTTATTTGATTAACATATCCTTTATAAAACATGTTTTAAATGTGTAAAAGTACTTGGAGGGGATACGAAAAATGATCGTGCGCGTTAAGCGGCGAAACCTTGCATTTTTATTAGCACATATCATAAGTACTATCGTTGAAGAAAATGGGATTTCGCAAATGTTAATTAAGGTAAAGAGAAAAGTGTTGTTTGTTTGGGTTTATATGACTGCAAAGAGAAAAGTAGTTTTTTATTATAAATTACAATAATTATTGTAATAAATAAACAAGTTTAAGTCATTTTATTTGCAGTTTACTAAAAAGTTCGATGATCTATGACACACTAGCTATTTCCGAAATGTTTACCTTTTAATACACCTCTATCTTTAATGTTCTAATGATGAAATCTAAACGTAAAAAATATATTTACCCATTTTTACAATTAAAAATCCATTAAAAATTATTCGAAGTCAAATATTGATATAAATTACAATAATTATTGTATTAAATAAACAAGTTTAGGTCATTTTATTTGCATTTTGTGTACGAGTAATACAGTGTATTGCAACGAAAATTTGACCCCCCCTGAAACTCAAAGTTTCTGGGGTTTCTTCAAACTTAAAAAAAAAACACGTAAATTTTTCGTAATCCCTACGGCGTCGCATCAACCCCCTGTTTTTTAAAATATCAAGTATGGTCGAGTCCACACACACAAGTGGCCCCGAGGCACATCATTTGAAAGATATATATATATATATATATATATATATATATATATATTATATATATATATATATATATATATATTATTTTTTTTTTTTTTTTTTTTTTTTTCGGTACAACTTTGAAGATAATTTTGGGTTTAACTAATTTATTGGTTGAACACAGTGGTAACAAAAAACAAAATTTCATCAAATTAACCAATTAAATGTTCGAAATGACCTCCTGTGACCTCCATACAATAATACAGTATATTTTCAAAGACTTCTGTGACAATTGTGACAAATGGCATTCTGTCAAGATCTGCAGGCGGAGTGGCGTATATTTTTGATTTTAGGTATCCCCCACAAAAAATCCAAAGGCGAAAGATCCAGTGATATTTCACGTTGAAAAACGCCCTGGAAAACGTTTGATTCAAAAATTGTCTTATGCGTAAATCTTAATATGGGGGTGCCCCGTCCTGTTGGAAAGTCAGTTCATCCTCTAAAAGATTATTATTAGATTTCAATGTGTCAGTGATGAGCAGATCAATAACGTCTTCTAACAATTTTAAATAAATTGTTCCGTTGAGATTTCCTTCAAGAAATAATGGCCCAATAACGTGATTCCCTGAATTGCCAACCCACAAATTTAATTTCTGAGGTGTTTGTGTATGTGTCTCCATGAATAAAAGAAGATTACTGTTACTCCAATAACGACAATTATGTCTATTTATGTTTATAAAAGTACACTCTACAAAAAACACGTATTGTACAATCGATAGTTATTTATGATTTCACTAAATTCTTCACAAAATTGAAGCCGACCGACGATCAGGATCATCTTCGTTTAATTGATGAAATAATGATATAGTTGTCTGATAGACTGTCGATTATCCATTTGTAAATGACCCAATGTGAGTGTCGTGTAGAGAAAAAAATATCTTTCAAATGATGTGCCACTCGACCACACTTGTTATTTAAAAAAAAACTGGGGCTTGATGCAGAGCAGTAGAGGGTTACATTTGAGGGCATAAATTTTGCGTAATTCGTTCGTCGCCCAATACAAATTGACGTGTTTTCTTAAATTTTGAAGAAACTCTTGTTCTCTGAGGCTCTGGGAGAGGGGTCAAATTTTCATTGGAACACACTGTATATTAAAAGTGCTAATAATTTCGCTAAGCTATGATACTAAAATCGAAATTATGGATGTCGCTCTTCCGAACTTGAACATAGCGAATAGCAGAAACTTCTAAAATAAAAATAGCCATTATGATTGGCAATCTCCGTTACGTAGCGAGAGGGCATTTTAAGAAGAAGGTTCTTGTTGTGATGAACCTGTTCTTTTTATAGTTGTGAACTTATGAGCCATATTACCTTGTTTTTTTCACCTTATTCTATCGAAAGTTTTCAAATAGATATTCTGTATTTTCTGTCAATATCAAGATGTGATCAACATTTATACTAATAATTATTACAATATTTCGCAACTGTTCTGTAAGTCTTGAAATCCCCTTTTAAATTATGTATCATTTGACTACTCGTCCCATTAAGAAAAATTGACGGGTTTTTGGATTTTTGTCAAAACATTTATTTTGCCGAGTTTATGGAGTAGAAAGTTTCTTTGGGACAAGGTGTATAAATATAATATACACAAATAAATAAAAGGGAGTTATGATTAATTTAGATATAACACATATAAATTTGCACAATAAGATCCAAAGAGACTCTCTGGAAGTATTAATACCAGAGTATTTAGTACTACAAAACTGAAAGTCGGCAGCAAAAACAGTAAAAGCTAATGCTCATACAAAATAGGTCAGAAGTCATACACATTATATTAATTGACGGTTGTATTGTATAAAATTATATTTTAGTTATCTTGGTAGTAACTTTTCTGTTTTTTTTGGTGTTCCACCATGTCTTGTTTCAGTAATAGGTTTTTGATTTTGTCTTCATAAATTATTTTCTAATTATTATAATTTGCGATATTATGATAAAAGTTATAAATTTTGCAAAATTATAAAGTAATCTTAGTTATGTACAACAAATACATTTATGTTAAAATTGTAGAAAAACTCAGTTTATTTAACTGCATCGTCTCTTAGCACAGAAAAAGGAAATATAATTGCACCCTGCAGGCAGTCGTTCTCTTTAAGGGAAAATGTAAAATTGTAAAAATGAGGTTTTTAAGCCGGTTTCGCCACTGCTAGATATTCCTTTGAAGTAGAAATTATCTTCTAAAGATAGACAGAGGTAACTAAATGTAAAAAAGTACAATGGGAATGCCCTTTTACGAAAATTGTCTTACAAAGATAGGACGATAAAATTGCATGTAATAAATAAAATATACTTTAAAAATGTCATAAAAGAATTTTATTTTTAATATAATATAAATTAAAAAATTTGTTTTTTTTTCTTATTTTAACTACTCTAACTACTCTATTTTGGGTTTATTGCTTATTTTCAGCTGTTTCTGTCACCTTTTAAATGTGATTTTTATAATTTTAAAAGGGTTTTCACCCTTACAACAGAGGCGTTGGCTAGATTGACATATGTTCATGACTAGTGTTTTATGTGTGGTCAATAACTAATTACAGTACTCTCTTTATAACCGATTCCCTATATAACGATAATTCCTCTATAACGATGAAAATCGTAAACGTTGGTTGGTTCTTCATAAGGACAATGTATTAATTCTTTCTCTATACCGATATCGTTCTCTCTTTATAGCGATGATTTTCAGCGTTCAATAGTCGACGAAAAATGTGTTATTTTGGTTAAAGTTCAGACTACCTGAGTCACGAGTGGCAAGGTCATTGTCCAGCGGTTGTTTTGTTTTGCGAGTTATGTCTTAGTGTGTCAGCAGTCATAATATGTTTTCGAAAAATCCTAAAGTGCCCTCGGTGGAGGAAAAGTTATCGATAGCTCGAGCAATAGAAAAAGATAAAAAGCAATTTGATGTCGTTCGCCGTACGAGGCTATCTCAGTCAATTGTGGCTCTGATATGAAAGGACAGAAAAAAGTGGCTTGAAGCAGAGATGGAGGGCGGTAGCAGGAAGAAGAAGGTGTCGAAACCTCAGCAGCAGCGTATGAACTATACTCCACTTTCTGGGCTTGTGTTCAGGACAAAAGTTGAGTTCTTTGCAACTGAGCCTGGAATTTAGAATTTCAAGGCATCTGAGGGTTGGCTGAGCAAGTGTAATCTTCGGCACAAGATCTACAACTACGGGCAAATCAGCGGAGAGGCTCGCGATGTTAACAAAAATGTAACGAATGATTGGCTAAAAATCAAAGCAATGTGGCCTGGACTAAATGCACGATATGAGAGTATATATGAGTGCGTGGATGACTGCGAAAATTTTTGAAGAAGCGATAATAAAGTGGGATATCAAGCTTAAAGGAAAAAAATTCTTCTGCTTGTAGACAATTGTCCTGCTCATGCTGTACTGTGCGACCTTCAAAACATTAAACTTTGTTTTCTGCCAGCAAACACAACGAGTGTCCTTCAGCCATGGACCAAAGTGTCATCAAGAGTTTGAAAAGCCATTACAGGAGAAGACTTTTGATGGAATTAGTTGAGAACAATGGCAATCTTAAACAAAACATTCTTGACGCCATCCTAATGATTAGTAAATCTTGGGACGAGGTGACGAGCAATACAATAAAACATTCCTTTAATCACACAGGATGGCTGTAAGATCAAGGATTGACTGATGATGAAGATGACCTGCCATTAGTTGTTTGGGCCAGACAGTTTGAACTTACTACCTCCTACAGCGCTAAGCTACAGAGCTAAGAACAGATTTTGAAGA